CACAGACTTGAGAAGTCTTTTCGGCAGTAGCTGAGGTCAGGAGAGACTGCTCTTGCACCAAAGCCCTGGGCCTTATGTTCAGACAAGCCTTAGACATTGTGTTTCCTTTGAACTCCTTCTCAGTAACTTAAACCTGAAACATGCTTCAAAGTTCACAGCACTGTTTAGCTTGCCTGTGCAGTATAGATCAGAGATTCCCAGGAGGAATCCTCCAGAGGCTCAGACTGGGTGGATAAAAATATAGTTTTAAAAAGATGATGTTTTTTTCCTGCTCAAATGCCCAGTATGTGCTGGAAGTTTTATGCACAGAAGGATAAACTTAATAGATCTGAAAATCTATACTGTGGGTCTCACCGTGTACTTATATTAGTTTTACACCCACTACATTCACATTATTGGCTTCATCGTTTGTGTTGCCGAAAGCAAAGCAGGTTTTGTGTTGTATGATAAACAAGCGTCAGCAAGGACGCATTAAATGATCAAAAGTCACAGTAAAGACGTTTGTGATGTCTATTTCAGATAGACATCTGTTCTTTTGAACCTTCTAGTCATCAAAGAATATTAAAAACATGTAAAATAGTTGCACAAACAGTTTTCAACATTGATAATGATAATAATAAATGTTTCTTGAGCATAAAATAAGCATATTAGAATGATTACAATGGAGACTGAGTAATGATGCTGAAAATTCATGCATCACAAGAATAATGTTTTAAAATATATATTACAATAGAAAACTGTCATTAAATAATATATATATATATATATATATATATATATATATTAGTATACATTATTATAAGTTTTTTACCGTATTTAATACAAACAAATATAGACCCCCACTTTTAAGTTTATTTATTCATGTACCTCTAGATGTTCAGCAACTGAACTTTGAAAGCCTTGAACACAGAGAAGTTTAAGTTTGCGATTCTTTCTCAAATAGCCTGTGGATTTGGTAAAGTGTCTTATTAGAACTCTGTGTTGAAAAATCTGCGTGTGTGTGTGTGTTTTGACAGGCACACCTGGTGGCTGCGTTTGAGAAGAGTCTGACGAACATGACCTGTCGCCTGCAGAGTCTAACAATGACAGCGGAGCAAAAGGTAGGAAAGGACATACACACACAAATGTGAACAGCAACTTAAATATTTGAATGTTTCCGTGTTTGTTGAGACGTAATAGCACATATTCTACCAATCAAGAGATATTAGTACCATTTTCTAGGGGGGGCTGAGCAGTCTAAGCAGTTCCACCCATCAATAAAACCATCCAGTCATCATGTAATATTACCTTCAGGTTAAAATGTGAAACGGCTTCCTTAATGTGCACAAATCACCATCATCGACTTAATGAGTTCCTGCTTCTGTTAGTCCCTCTTGAATAAACCATCAGAGAATACAGAGGGACGTCTTTGTTAAGATGGGACAATTTCAATTAAATCCGAACCCTATCGTAAGCACTGGAATCTTGAGCTCTGGATCGACAGTGAGACCGTATTGTGATGGAATAGGGGGTTGCAACACATGCTTCGGTTCCTTGGATCAGCGGGGCGCTTATCTCCTTGTGCTTTTTTGGCAGGAAACATCTGATAGAGGAATAAGACAGCTGGTGGTACAAGAGGGAGTTTGTGCTTCGCCTACAAAATAGTTTGTGTTGGGTCAAAAACCGAAAGTCCTTTCTAGCGATTCAGAAGTAATGCTGATTTTGAATTAGCAATGCTTGCATCACAATTTTAATTGTGCATATTTAGGGTTTGGAATTTAAACAAACCTCTAACCATAAGTTTTCAACTTTGGTGCGCAACTCTCCCTGCATCATTTGAGCAACAGACATTAATCATAATCGCTGCTCTTTTACTTTACTAAGCGATATGGGGAAGTCAGTTGTGTTTGTATTCAATGTAACTGTGTGTGTTGCAGGAGTCCGAGCTGGCGGAGTTGAGAGAGACCATTGAAGCGTTGAAAACTCAGAACACAGATGCTCAGACGGCCATTCAAGTGGCCCTCAATGGCCCTGGTCATGTTCATAAAGGTGCTGATTGTGTAGCTACTTGTTTCGCAATTATTAAAGGGAATATTTCCGGTTCAAGTTAAGGTGCAGTCACATTTCCCATTGAAATCCATTCATTTTACCAATCCATTCACATGGATTTCGCAATGATATCAAGTTTGTCGCACAGCAAATTTGATGTGTTGACTAACAAAACACTACTTGCATTGAAAATGACTTCTATGTGTACACTATTGATGATAAACAATTAATCTTTTTTTTTTCCCACTAAATTCCACCGCAATTTTTGCTAATGTGACAGCACCTTTTAAACTCAATCGACAGCACTTGTGGTATAATCGATCACCAAAAAATTGAATTTTCACAAGTTGAAAATCCCTTCTTTTGTTTTTCTTCTTTTTTTTTTTAAACATTATGTATGTATGAAAAAACACTTACTAACATTTTCTGTGTAAAGATACATGCCTTTTTACTTCATTCCCATGACATCGTGAAAACCTAAAGCCTTAAAACAACCATAAAAATAACAATTTAAACAACTAAATAATAAAAAAATACACAGATTTCATAAATATTGGTGCTTTTGTATCATTTTCTGCTTTTAAAATTGGCCCTATTCACGTCCATTGTAGGTTCCACTGTAACTCACAAATGTTTGTCATGTGATGATGACCGTGTGTGTGTGTGTGTGTGTGTGTGGCAGACCTGAGGATCCGTCGACAGCACTCATCAGAAAGCATGTCCAGTATTAACAGTGCTGCCAGCCATTCCAGTATGGGTAGCGCTAAAGACGTAGACGACAAGAAGAAAAAGAAGAAAAGCTGGGTGAGTCATTGCACAAGGCTTCAGCTTCACAGGCTTTTCCGCTTGTAGAATGATGACTACAAATGTGATGAAAGAGCACAGCATTTGAAAAAAAAAAAAAGTTACATGAAGTGTATGAATCACTGCATTAGATTTGACGACGGTAGTCCATGTTTAAAGAGCTTATAGAGCCAAAAACAGTAATCTTGCCATACCGAACCAAGCTCAAGAGGAAATAACCGTCCCTTTCCATTCGTAGAAATGTCCGGCTTGATGGTTGCATAAATGGCTGCATAAATGACTTCATCTTACATCTTACAGTTTAATGTTTAGTGTAATAGAAATTCAGTATATTTTACATTTGCATTTGGCTGACGCTTTTATTTTCAATGTACATATCTACGTTTTATTAGTTGTTGGTTTCCCTGGGAATCGAACTCACAACCTTTGCAATCTTAGGATCTAGATATTAATGCCTTTTCCATATTTAGCAACTGTGAAACATTGATTAACACTGTAAGAGGACAAAAAGTGTGTCGTTATCGTTTTCTATAAGGCTTGTTTTAAAATTCTTCTATGAGAAAGTGATTTTTAGTTAGTCATCATTCTAATAGTGGCATCCTCTCTAATTCAGTTTCCACTTTGAGAACATCAAGAACACGCAGCACAAACATTTCTGTCATTTCACTCCCTTCCGACTGTCTCGCCCTCTTTCACGCCCTCTCTCACACTTTCTCTGTCTTTCACTTCCTCACCACACCACCAGGGAAAGGATAGAGGACACAAGGTGACTATAACACCCCCTCAAACTCTCCTGCATGCCCGTATAAAAGGATCCGACATGCTCGCCCCATTTTTCCCTTCAGTGGCCCTTAAAACCCCTAAACTTCCTCACCCTTGCCCTTTAAAAAACATATCTTTATATCTTCTTTGAGGAATGCACTAATTAAGAACATCTTCTCGCTCAGGTTGCTGTCATTACCGGTGATATATTTTTGTTATTAAGATGCAGTTTTGCATGTTTTACTCCTACTCAGCTGTTCTAGTTCACTCGCGGCTATTTCATAGGTTTTTTTTTTTTATCTCCTAATGCTTGGGGGATGTTGTTTATTCTCATTTAGGGTCTACATTAAGTCAAGAGCACTTGAGGTAAACCGCTGTTTGAGAAATAGCATTGGCATTGTGTGTAGCAGTTATAGCAACTTTTCCTCAAGCTGCCTTGGACTCATGTAATGAGAGCAGAGCTCAAACCGAGCTCATAAATACCAATCAACTCTTTTTTTATGCGCCTATTAATTATTCATCAGCACAATTTGAGGCAGTGTGGTCTCTGGGTTCAGACAGTCTGGAAACACTGCTCAGAGATGAAAGACAATGAGAAAGCAAACTAAAAAGAAAACGAGTGAGATGAGGGTTGCAATATATAATACATTCAAAGCAGGGCTCAACAATAAGGATGCATTGTGAGTGAGAGTTGTGGGACAGATTTGTTTTCGCCTTTTATTAAATATAATGTAATGCACATGCATAAAAAGAAAATGCTTAAGAAAAATATACATTTATATATATATATATATAATATGTGTGTGTACTGTATACTGTATATTAGTGCTGTTAACATTAATGCATTAATGTATGCGATTTACACATTTTTGTCCAGTTTAACGTATTAAAATATTTAACGCATTGGCATAAACTCATCATGGAGCTTTTACTGAATACTTAACTTTCCTTCTTCATTCTTCAAAAGGACGTTTCTTAAATATTTGGACTCCTTATCTTCGCTTTACTAACTCTACCGTTGCATCTATATTGCATCTATATCTATATTTATTTGTATTGTGTCATATGTCCTGAATATTGTCCAGATCTATGTTGTGCTGAGCTTTGTTCTTGTCTGTTAAATTTAAATGTGTTCATAAGAAAATAAAAATACAAATATTTGAAAATATGTATATATTTAACGCAATTCTTGGCAAGCTCCCACCCTTTGGCAAGCGTAATATTCACGCAAAAGCTTTTAAACCATTCAATTGCGACCAGACAAAAGAAAACTTTATGTTGTTTCTACATTCATTTGGAATTATTACATTATAAAATATATTAAAATGCATAAAAACTTGTTTTTAACAGAAAAAATTGTGATTAATCTAGTTATTTTTATCTAGAGTCTCTAGACTATTGTTATCGATTGACAGCACTAATAATAATGTGTATACATTTTTGTAAAGAAAACAGAAAAAATGTAATTGGATGGATGGATGGATGGATGGATGGATGGATGGATGGATGGATGGATGGATGGATGGATGGATGGATGGATGGATGGATGGATGGATGGATGGATGGATGGATAGATAGATAGATAGATAGATAGATAGATAGATAGATAGATAGATAGATAGATAGATAGATAGATAGATAGATATTCCTTTACCATTTGTATGTTTTTTTGTCTTATAATAGGCATATATATTATGGCTTTTAATTAAATATATTAGTACATATTTTATATATAATGCACATTATTTGTGTGTTGCAATTGCATAAAATACTTAAAATAAATACAACAAGTACAAATAATACCAGGTCAGAAAAAAAATGTCCTTGTTGTTGAGTGCACCGATGTCAAAGGAAGTTGAGGAAATAGAGTTCCAGTCAAATGCTGTTATGTGGAATGAACTAGTTCCATTGCTGACAGACACAGCCTCCATTCAGATCTAATCTAATCAAATGAACAATGAATAAATGATGCTGCTGTTCCTGAATATTCTGGTCCAACAGTGTACGTTTCAGTCAATAGTAACAGTGAGTGTGTTCTATCCATAGGTGGCTGATTCCATCCCCGCCCAGGTTAGTGTTTTCACGTCCCACATTACTGAGGCCGTTTGCCTCTGATAACCTCTAACAATCCCCCTCCCCACCCCAACCAACCCACCACCCCCCAACTACACACCCTCCAAATCCTACTGTAGGTGTTTCCATAGAAATATGTGCTTCCCCCAGTCCCACTGCCTGCCAGTACTGTATGTTTCTGCACAGTGAATTGCACAAGCAGCCTGTTATTTACCCTCTCAATATATTAACCTTTATCAAATCACCATGTGATGTTTACCAGACTTTTTGAATGTCTTACCTAATGATCTTTTAAGCATTATATAATGATCTTTAAAGCATAATATATTTTTCTTACAGTTGCGGAGCTCCTTTAAGCAGGCCTTCAGCAAGAAAAAGACCAACAAGAGCCAATCATCTCACGATGAGTTTGAAGAGATGACTGACTCATCCCTCCCTTCTTCACCCAAACTCCAACACACCAACAGACAGACCAGCACCACCCAACCACTGCTCTCATCACCGTCCACCACAGAGTGAGTACACACACACACACACACACACACAGCTCTATGAAATACAGTAGATGCTTTAACATGCACATATTTGTTATGGTTTACTGTCATTTGTTTCTATTTCAGTAAAACTCTAAATGGGCCATTACACATTCAACACATTTATCACCAGTAACTTCCACTTGTGTTTCAGTGATTGTATTTCTTGTTTTGTTGAGATTTTTCTTTTCTTTTTTGCACTCTTTTTTTATTTGTTTTTATAATCCTATTTATATTTCATCCTATCCCTTAATCATTTCTGTATTCTGCCCTTGTTCCTCAATTCCATGTGTCTTCAGAAAGTGTTTTTGTGATAGCAAGTCCTCCCCCATTTGGATGCCAAAGAAAAAGTCAAACGGTCATGTGGTCTACAAGCACAGATCTCGGTAACGGGCACAGTGTGGCATGCTGGGAAGGATTGAGAGTGTGCAGTGACTAATATTACAAAAGATCCCTTGCCCTATATTTCAGTTTCAAAACATTTTATGTGAGACTTGAGACTGACAACAATATATTCAAATTTGTAATGAGAGATTGTACTAAACATTTTTTTTTTGTAAAAACAAATAAAATAAAATAGACAAAGATTTCAATATATGCTTATGAAAAAAAAGGTCAAACTCATCTATTAAAATATTACTTACCGTATGTTGCTTTAACTTCAATAATTTCGCTGTGCTTAAAGGCCCTTTCGCACCAAGGATGATTGACTATAATGATAATGAATGTTTTAATATTCATCGTAATTCTATGAGAACAGAAAATTCTACACCACAACTATAACGATAACGACATAGATGAACTATATTGTTGGAATCACTTTCATAAGTATTTTTTTACAGCTTATGAATGATAAAAACAATGACAGCTAATCAGAATCCATCCTGCTTTAAAGAGCTTGAGCATTTAAAGCAGCAGATGACCCAAATGCAGTGAGCTTGTCATAAACAGAACAATATTTTGCATTGGCCTGGACGCTACTGAAGTTATCGTTATCATTATTAGGGGCCAAGCACCGAAGGTGCGGAGGCACCTATTGTATCTGTGCCGGTTCTTATTATTAGGGGCCAAGCACCGAAGGTGCGGAGGCACCTATTGTATCCGTGCTGGTTCTTATTATTATTATTCTTCTTCCGACTGGGCGTCTATGGCAGCCCATAGACCGGTTTGCGGGAAAGTTGTTTTGGTTTGACATTCTGATAGAGGACAGTCCCAACTTTAAATACACCAATTTTGGTGTCTCTAACTCATTCCCTCTAGCGCCACCAACTGTCCAAAGTTTCACTTTTATTATGCTAATAACTTTTGAACCGTAAGGCCTATCAACAAAATTCTTTTTTCCTCTTGTTCCTGAGCTCATGCCGATTCGATCGCACCCTATGACGTCATTTTCCGTCATAAAAAAACGGCCGCCATTTTGAATTTTCCAAAAAACCTACTTTTGCGAACTCGTCCTAGACGGTTTGTCCGATTTTCACCAAAATCGCACCGGATCATCTCCAGGCAGTGCTGACAAAAAGTTATGGAATTCAAGATGATTCGAATAACCGTTTTCGATAAACGCGTAAACAAAATTTACGTAGCGCTTGCGAAAACAGACGTGAGGTTGTATCTCCGCAACGCTTACTCGTTTTCACACCAAACTTGGTACGTGTTATCACAAGCATGACCTGAGGCTACGTGCTGCGTTTCGGCGCAGCGCCACCTAGTGGTCCGGAGATATGAAAAATGGCTATTTTTGCTCGTAACTTCTGAACGGTTTCTCCAAAAATCAAAAACTTGGTCTCGTTAGATTCAGGGCGTCATGCCGAGTCGACCGATATCCAATTTTCCCAGATCGGCCATTTTGGCTGTCGGCCATTTTGAATTATGTGCTAAAATGCTGTATTTTTTGAACGCATGAACGAATTGTTACGAAACTCGTTATGGGTCATCAGTACGATGCCCTGAAGGAGCCTGAGAAGTTTCGAAACAGCGCCACCTAGTGGTGAATTGTTTTATTCAAACGCTTATAACTTTGGGTGTGGTACACTTATTTTCACGGGAGTCATATTTTTGAGGTCCTGAATCGTTGCCGAGTCCAACGATACCAAATATGTCGGGTTTCGTCTCACGGATGGCGTAGCGTAGCGATTTAGCGCGAAAAAAACACTTGGCGATATCTTCAAAACCGCTGTTCCGATCGAGACGAAACCACCGCCAGAAACACGGAATCATAGCTTGTTAACTATACGCTAATGCCCAAATGCGTAAATATTGATAGTAAGGGGTAGTAAAATTCAAACAAAGTCATGTGTCAGTCATTTTTTACGTGTTTTTTCATATAAATGTTTATAACTCGGAAGTAAATTGAGATATTTGCACCAAAATTGACACACATATGTATGGGGTCACTCTGAGGACACATAAAAAAAATTGTGGGACTGAGCCTCTTGGTGGCGCTATAATAGAACAAAACGTGAAATTCCCATTGACTTCAATACAGTTTTGTGAAATACAATGCTATACTAAACAAATGCTTTGGTCTAACATTACGAAACTCAGTGTGTGCCATAAGCAGCATGCCCTGAAGGTACTCAAAAGATTTTGAGACAGCGCCACCTGTTGGTCAAAAGTTATAATTAATTTCTGAGAACGCTAATAACTTTTGAATAAATTTGCCTATTGCAATGAAACTGATCTTAATAGATTCCTTGGGTTATGCCGAAAACATAGATATCAGGTTTTGCATAATCAGCCAAACTTCCTGTCCGCCATCTTTATTTCTTTGAAAAACCTTCTTTTTCGAACTCCTCCTAGACCGTTTGTCCGATTTTCACGAAAATTGAATCGTATCATCTCCAGACCGTGCCGACTAAAAGTTATGAATTGCACGATGATAGACAAAACCGTTTTCGTATACCACAGCATCAAAGTTTAGGCATGCTGCCAAAATTACTATTTAGGCTTTATCTCTGCAATGCCTTCACATTTTGACACCAAACTTTGCATGTGTCATTGTCACCTCACTCTGACCACATCACATCTATTTCGTAACTGCGCCACCTATTGTTCGAAAGTGATAACCCATTAAATCATCTTATAAGTTAATGTTTATGTGATTTTCTTAGCCATTTGCCCAAAGTTCTCTCAAAATGCCCTTAATTGCTCCTTGCTGCAGTTGGTCTGCCACTCCTTGCCATTTTGGCATATGTTGCCGCTTCTTGCGCTTGGCCCGGTAATGGCTGCTTGCAGCTATATTTATTAGGCCAAGCACCGAAGGTGCGGAGGCACCTATTGTATTGCTATTATCTGTTTCTTATTATTATTATTATTATTCTTCTTCCGACTGGGCGTCTATGGCAGCCCATAGACCGGTTTGCGGGAAAGTTGTTTTGGTTTGACATTCTGATAGAGGACAGTCCCAACTTTAAATACACCAATTTTGGTGTCTCTAACTCATTCCCTCTAGCGCCACCAACTGTCCAAAGTTTCACTTTTATTATGCTAATAACTTTTGAACCGTAAGGCCTATCAACAAAATTCTTTTTTCCTCTTGTTCCTGAGCTCATGCCGATTCGATCGCACCCTATGACGTCATTTTCCGTCATAAAAAAACGGCCGCCATTTTGAATTTTCCAAAAAACCTACTTTTGCGAACTCGTCCTAGACGGTTTGTCCGATTTTCACCAAAATCGCACCGGATCATCTCCAGGCAGTGCTGACAAAAAGTTATGGAATTCAAGATGATTCGAATAACCGTTTTCGATAAACGCGCAAACTAATTTTACGTAGCGCTTGCGAAAACAGACGTGAGGCTGTATCTCCGCAACGCTTACTCCTATTCAGACCAAACTTGGTACATGTTATCACAAGCATGACCTGAGGCTACGTGCTGCGTTTCGGCGCAGCGCCACCTAGTGGTCCGGAGATATGAAAAATGGCTATTTTTGCTCGTAACTTCTGAACGGTTTGTCCAAAAATCAAAAACTTGGTCTCGTTAGATTCAGGGCGTCATGCCGAGTCGACCGATATCCAATTTTCCCAGATCGGCCATTTTGGCTGTCGGCCATTTTGAATTATGTGCTAAAATGCTGTATTTTTTGAACGCATGAACGAATTGTTACGAAACTCGGTATGGGTCATCAGTACGATGCCCTGAAGGAGCCTGAGAAGTTTCGAAACAGCGCCACCTAGTGGTGAATTTTTTTTTTCAAACGCTTATAACTTTGGGTGTGGTACACTTATTTTCACGGGAGTCATATTTTTGAGGTCCTGAATCGTTGCCGAGTCCAACGATACAAAATATGTCGGGTTTCGTCTCACGGATGGCGTAGCGTAGCGATTTAGCGCGAAAAAAACACTTGGCGATATCTTCAAAACCGCTGTTCCGATCGAGACGAAACCACCGCCAGAAACACGGAATCATAGCTTGTTAACTATACGCTAATGCCCAAATGCGAAAATATTGATAGTAAGGGGTAGTAAAATTCAAACAAAGTCATGTGTCAGTCATTTTTTACGTGTTTTTTCATATAAATGTTTATAACTCGGAAGCGAATTGAGATATTTTCACCAAAATTGACACACATATGTATGGGGTCACTCTGAGGACACATAAAAAAAATTGTGGGACTGAGCCTCTTGGTGGCGCTATAATAGAACAAAACGTGAAATTCCCATTGACTTCAATACAGTTTTGTGAAATACAATGCTATACTAAACAAATGCTTTGGTCTAACATTACGAAACTCAGTGTGTGCCATAAGCAGCATGCCCTGAAGGTACTCAAAAGATTTTGAGACAGCGCCACCTGTTGGTCAAAAGTTATAATTAATTTCTGAGAACGCTAATAACTTTTGAATAAATTTGCCTATTGCAATGAAACTGATCTTAATAGATTCCTTGGGTTATGCCGAAAACATAGATATCAGGTTTTGCATAATCAGCAAACTTCCTGTCCGCCATCTTTATTTCTTTGAAAAACCTTCTTTTTCGAACTCCTCCTAGACCGTTTGTCCGATTTTCACGAAAATTGAATCGTATCATCTCCAGACCGTGCCGACTAAAAGTTATGAATTGCACGATGATAGACAAAACCGTTTTCGTATACCACAGCATCAAATTTAGGCATGCTGCCAAAATTACTATTTAGGCTTTATCTCTGCAATGCCTTCACATTTTGACACCAAACTTTGCATGTGTCATTGTCACCTCACTCTGACCACATCACATCTATTTCGTAACTGCGCCACCTATTGTTCGAAAGTGATAACCCATTAAATCATCTTATAAGTTAATGTTTATGTGATTTTCTTAGCCATTTGCCCAAAGTTCTCTCAAAATGCCCTTAATTGCTCCTTGCTGCAGTTGGTCTGCCACTCCTTGCCATTTTGGCATATGTTGCCGCTTCTTGCGCTTGGCCCCGGTAATGGCTGCTTGCAGCTATATTTATTATTATTATTCTTCTTCCGACTGGGCGTCTATGGCAGCCCATAGACCGGTTTGCGGGAAAGTTGTTTTGGTTTGACATTC